GCTGTAGCTGAAAGTGAATTTTACATTGAGTCAGAAATGCACGACATTGATCAGGGTCCCCATTATATGGCTCTGGAGGGCATAATCTAGGTTCGGATCTTGGATTAGGTAAAGTAACTCCAGGTGGAGGTGCAAATAATTGATCAGAAGCAGATGCCAGCGGTTTTGTGTTCATGCTTCTAAGTGCCTGACAAATATTATCTATTTTATTTTCCAATTTACTTAAAGCACCTTCAACACCAGCCTGCCATGTTGAGTTTGGCTCAGAGTTCATTTTTGTGGCCAGATTTTCTGATAAGAACCGGTCTTTGAACTCTGAATTAATGCCAAACTCAAAAACAGTTTTACAGATTTTATTGTTRATGTGCAAGGCTTTGGTGTGGTTCTGGATCAGGACATTGAGTTGGACTGGAACTTCTGGACACACGAAAAAACTATTAGCAACAGAGTCACTGTGAATTTTGACTGAGAAAAATACAAAGCCACTGACCTGATGTTCGTGTGGGTGTTCCATACACARTCACTGATTTGAGTTGACAGGGTCTGAGCCCGTGTGATGTCACCGTTCAGAATTGTTTGTGGTTTTACTCCAACAGACAAGAACTGGGTCCAGGGATAGGCGAGGATCAGAATCAAAAGAATTACCAGACTTAGTGGAGCAGGCTTGAGTCGTGGGTCCGTAAACTGAGCAGGGGTCGAGAGCCGTGTAATCCGATGAAGCGTCRYGCCRATGAGGGAAAATCCAAGAGCCGAAAAACCAGGAAGTGAAGCAGGAGTCGTTACCGGGTAAGCAGATGACAGGAGGAATCTGACGAGGGCAAAGGCAAAGATCATGAAACCGAGGAGCATGAGCAAGAACAGGGAACCAGGACTAACAAGGGACAAGGTACAAGATTGCAGGAAGTTCATAGCAGAGCACATGAAAATCTGGCAGAGACAGAGAGTTGATAACAAGGCTTTATACTGGGAACTACAGATGAGTTGCATGAAACTGATTGCATGAAGGCGGTGCTGTGGTAAACTGGTGATGGGAGGGGGAAAAACACTGAGCAAAAACAGGGTAAAGCTGTAAACAAGGGATGTTAAAAAATGCATGACATACAGTGGTTTGCAAAAGTATTCATACCCCTTGAACTTTTCCATATTTTGTCACATTACAACCACAAACATAAATATATTTC